CCGGCACTGCTGATCCTGATCAGGGAAGGGGAGCTTTTCACGGCAGCTGCGGTAGCGGTCATGAGTTTCAGGGATGCTGCCCGCCTCCCTTCACCTCTGTGCTGAATCCCGCAGTGGGCTGCACACACCCCGCCTCCCCCAGGACCCGGCCCCAGCCTCCCCACCAACTCACCGATGGCCTTCTTTAGGGTCTCATAGGTGATCTCCTCGGCAGGCACTCGCTGAGGGGGAAGGGACAGAAGTGATCAGAAAGGTGGAGTGTGGGTGGAGGAGGTGGCTCTGGCTTCCTCAGTTAGTGGGCAGCCCCTCTGGCTCCTCAGAAGAATGTCCCCAGGGGTGGAAGCTGCCCCAGGACACCCACATTCTCACCAGGGTTTCTGAAGCTCCCCCAGCAGGCGGGCACAGAGCCGTCCTCTGAAGGACAGCAGCGGGATGGCAGGGTCGGGGTGGGGTGGGGGAGGCCCAGTCCTCATCAGCGTGCCAAGAATCACCTGGAAGAGCTTGCTGCCTCCCCACCTCCCAACCCCCGCTTATCCCATCAAGCCCTATGGGAAGAAAACCCTGTGAAATTCAAAAAAATCTTCAGAGAATGTAACAGAAAATATTGGCAGCAAGAGGAAGCAGCTGGCAAATACCTCAAATGGAAATTTTAAGAACTGAACAACATTTTTGAAGACTCAGGATATCAAATGACCCACTGAGGTGATCTGAGTAAAGATCAGACACGCTGAGATCGGCTCAGGGACCTGGGTCACAGGTTCTCAGCCCTCGCAGGGCCTAGGAAAGGAGGTGGAAAATAGCAAACCCAAAGAAGGACTGCCCCATAGCCGCACAGGCTCGGGTAGAGGCTGGAAGCCGTGAAGACTTTGAACTAAGTCCTAGGTAGTCCCCAGGAGACTCTGGGCTCCCTGAGGCTGGATCCATGATTCACTCCTATCCCATCACTTAAACACAGTATTAAGTGAAAGAAGCAGACACAGTAGAAAATTATTTCACTGATATAAAGTTCAAGAAAGGACTGAAGTCAGGCTAGTGGCTCCCTTTGGGAGGGGAGTCTCTCGGGCAATGACAGTGTCCTCTCCCCTGATCTGGGTGTGACTGCACGGACACATTTCTTTAGTGAAAATTCACTGAGTTGTCCTTTTCTGATTTGACTACCATTCAGCAAATGCTAGTGTGAGGAGGAAGGCCAGAGATGTAGGTATGGGTGACAGTCGTTCACGGAATATTAAGTGAGTACTGAGTATGGGCGGGACTCTCGGCTGGTCCCGTGGTAGAGAGGGCACAGCCTGTTAGCATGGGAAGGACACGCAGAGGGAGCTGTGCTGAGCCCTCAGTCACAGGGAGCCAGCGCGGGCTTCTGGTAGGGTATGGCGGGCTGAGAGTGAAAAGAAGCATGGCGTGGCTGCAGGGCACGGGCTGGAGGCCCCCACACTCTTCCTGTAGCTACCAGGCTCCCCCTGAGCTAGGGGGACTCCCTGGGAAGAAAAGGAACCCATTCTGGTGACCCAGGGGACACTAGAGAGTAGGAGGCTCTGTTTCTCCTTCTCCTTCTGCTTCATTTTACTCATCGGTTCCCAAGGGTCTCTTAACTCCTGGGAAGGAGAATCACAACTTTGGCGGGAACAGCAGCCAACCCCCGCTGCAGTCCTGACATGGTTCCCTGTCCTGCAGAGCCGGAAGGCCTGGGAGGACGCCGGCTTCAACTCCATTCCAGTCTTCCAATTAGCCCAAGTCAGGGCTTCCTTCCTTGTAGGGGAAGGTTCCAGACAAGTGCCCCAGTGACAGAAGAGCAGGGAAGGTGGCTAAGGGCACAGTTAGAGGGAGGCTCGGTCCCGACCCCAACGACTTCTCCTTGCTCCGGTGCGTCTGGGGAAAGGCTCAGGGTAGAGGCTGTCCTCCACGGCTGCCCCAGCACCAACACGTAGAAACTGTCCCAGTCCCCCCTCCTGTTCCTGGGCATCCTCCTCACTTCCTGCTGAGGCTTCCCCACCTGTCAATTTCCTTAATGGCGGAAGACCCAGTTAAACCCAAGTGCGCTGCGTCTCATGGCCTCGTCTCCCTCATGACCCCTTCCGCTCCTGCTCTGCCCCGCCCTTATTTCTTTTTCATTTGTAGGAGTAAGTTGAGTCTTTCCACTGTGATTCCTTCTTGCTTACTCATGGGCACATCTGCTTTATTTTCGGAGGTAGAAGAAGTAATGACAGTGGAGATATCCCCCGTTCATTTGGACATAAATTAGATATTCAGAGCCCCCAAGAGAAAATGGAAGACAGATCTTTAAGCCGCAACTTTGTCTTTAAAAAAGCACCTCTACTGATCTTTCTGGAAGAAACACCGTGAAAGCTCTTCTCGCCCTCATCTCTCCTGTCAGGCCTTCCAGTTTCCAACATGGCACACACCGGCCTCCGTTGGGAATGGGAAATGATCACGAGCAAGCTTTTCAAGAGGGATTTGTATGATGTTGTCATGGGAGCGGTGTGTGTGTGTGTGTGTGTGTGTGTGTGTGTGTGTGTGTGTAGTGCATATAATTTTTCCAGATGGAAATATCTATGACATACATGACTAGAGATGGTAAGAAAATGGGGTATTTGAGAAATTGGCTTTCCATGCAACTTCATGCAACTTTAAATGTGTTGTGCAGTTAGGGGAGCCTGGAGCCTGGAGTGCCTGACTGGCAAGCAGCCAGAGCCGGTCCCCTCCCCTGGGAATGTGGGACGGCATAGCAAGAACAGGCCACTCACCTCCTCCTTCTCTGGGCTGTTCCTGGATTCCACCTCCACCTGCAGGGAAATGGTTTCTCCAATGCTCTTCCTCTTGGATAAGCGATCCTCATCTGGGAAAGGGAAGCCCAGAAGCTAGAGTTGCTGTGCTCAGAGCGAGCCAGGCTCACAGCTCTGGTACCATCTCGCCCCCATCCCCCACCTTTGCCTGACCCACAGTCCTTCTGGAAGGCTCAGGACGCACGGAGGCTACAGCTGGTTTTCCGAAGGCTGCCAGCCTCCCCTGCCAGCCTTAGGGTGGTGAGTTTTGCCATTTATGGCTACGATTTTGAAATCCTCGATGAGCACAAAGCAGCCGCTCACGACCAGAAAGCATACAGCAAGGTGCACGAGAAGCTGTCACTTGTGGAGCATTTCCTGAAGTGCCCGTGGCGTTATTATTCTGTGTGCGTCTCCCACCAGCCCCCTAAGGCAGGGGTCGTTAATCCCTATTTGCTAGTCAAGGAAAATGAAACTTTTCATTTGTCAGATGCCAGGAAACCCGTCTAAAGATTTTCAGGGAGTAAAGGGCAGGGAACGTGCACAGCCCATGTGTGCTCTCTGGGGCTCCATGGGGCCTCTCCCGTCCACGGCCGGCCTGTCTCATGGGCCACCTTCCCCCAAGGATCCGGCCCTGAGGAGAAGAGGTGGGGCGGTCGAGAGGCTCTTACCGCAGATTTCCCCTGCGTTTGTCCGCTCCCGTGTGACACGCCAGGGGCCAGGGGAGGCCCTGAAGGGCACCCAAGCCCCTCAGGCTCAGGCCCTGTTCTGCTGAGGAACAGCCAGAGGCAGTCTCGGAAGTGCTGGCGCAGAGGGCCTACCTGTCAGCTGAGGGACGTAGGGCAGGCAGAGCCTGTCGGAGTTGTAGCCGCTGCCCCCCAGGACCTCGCTGATCTTGCTCTGGCGGAAGAGGAACTCAATCACTACTCCGTCTAGATTTTGGGACAACCTGGAAGACACAGAAGGATAAGAGGCAACTAGCGGGATCTCCTAATGACTTTATTATAAAAGGAACATTCATCCTACAAAAGGACAGAGAAGCAGAAGGAAAAGAAAATCAGCCATAGTCCCACTTTCCAGAGACGACATCTTTGCATTTTGTGCAGAATCCTTCCGGGGGCTCAGGTCTACGCGCATGTGCCCGTACACGTACACACACACACACACACACACACACACACACCACCTCACCCCCTGACTTCCTGTTCTGTCATCGTTTTTATCTACCGATTGCACCATGCATGGTTCGCGTGAACTTTTCTCCAAACCGCTGTGGTGGAAAGGACATCATTTATAAAGCTACCCCCTCTGGTTAGACATTTTGCTTTTTCACAGTATTTTCCTTGAGTTCCTCTGAGGCTAGCATGACACAGACTGCAGTCCTCGGACGCCACCTGGATGGATCCAGTGTCTTGCAAGAACGACTTCTCCAGGAGGCACAGCCCATGGGCTTGGCCAAAGCCCTGGAAGCTTACGTTAAACTCTCTAGGGCACAACACACTGACACGGCTCAAGGGTGGATTACAGTCCCGTGATGAAGGTCACACTGGACCCAGGACGTCTGGGCCACAGGCAGGGTCCACTTTGGGCCCTTGAGCCCATGGAGGCCTCAGCCCCGGCTTCAGACTGCCCACCTTCTCACTCACCACGTCCTAGGTGTTCCCCTCACCTGGGCTTCTCCACAAACACGGCCTCAGGGAGCATGTAGGGCGCCTCCTTCTTCCGGGTCTCTATCACCTGCAGTTGGGAGGAACCGCATGAGAGCTGGGGTCGACAGAGGGGAGGAGCTCTGGGCAGGCAAAGGCTAGCTCTCACCCCTCTCCTGGTGGTTCCTTCCTCCCACAGACTCCTTGCCTGAGCACCCTGCAGCTGGGCTTCGAAGGGACAAACTCAGATCAACAGTGACCCTCACAGCAGCCTGAGATGCCCAAGCGGATGGCTCAGGCCATCCCCAGTGATGGGTACGCATCAAGCGTCCTTCAAAGGCAGGGCACTTAGCCCTGGGGAGATGGCGGTTGCTTGCTCCTATGCCCTATTCCTATTTTCTATGTAAACGTGGAAGAGGGGGCAGTGGTCACACCCTCCCCCCAACATCAGAGCAGAAACATCCTGATGGACAGTCACAGACGCAGTTCCAGTGAAAGTTGGTAAGATGGTGAGAGGCGGGAGGGTAGTTGGTGTGCAAGTATGGACAGGAGTGAGCCACCCATGTCTGGGCCATGTCTGGGCACGGCCTTCTCTGCACCCCCGACTGGCCCATGCTGGGGGGGGCAAAGTGATACAGTGCCCCTCTCCCATGGCCCCCAGCACCCCTGAGCCAGCTGGGACTCAAGGTTTCTTATTTTAGTTCGTTTTGCTTGTGTATTTTTTTTTTAAGATTTTTATTTATTTATTTGGCAGAGATCACAAGTAGGCAGAGAGGCAGGCAGAGAGAGAGGAGGAAGCAGCTCCCTCCTGAGCAGAGAGCCCAATGCAGGGCTCGATCCCAGGACCCTGGGATCATGACCTGAGCCGAAGGCAGAGGCTTTAACCCACTGAGCCACCCAGGTGCCCCTTTGCTTGTGTATTTTAAAGTTAATCCTAGACATTCTATCATTCCACCTATAAATACTTCAGTATGTTTTTAAAATGTCTTTTGGGGACATTTGATTATAGACTGGGTATTAGATAACACTGAGGCATTACAGATAACTTAGTTAGGCACGTTAATAACATGGCGATTAGGTAGGACGGGGTCCATATTTTTTACACACAACACTGATATCTATAGGGGTAAAATGATATGCAAGCTGAGATTTGCTGTAAAATAAGAAAAAGCAAAAAAGAGATAAAGTTAATGTGGGAAATTTCATCCGCATGATAGAAACATGGATGTTCACTGTTCTCACACTGCTTTGGTGATGTTTGAAAACTTCCATAATAAAATTTTTTTTTTTTTTTTTTTAAGTAGCATTCGTCCCAGACCACACTAGAGTGGTGTGTAGCTGGGCCTCCGGGAGAAGGGGTGGCATGGGTGGGGGCAGGGAGTAGAGGCAGGAGGTTTGCAGGTGAGGAAGGGGTCCAGGTTCCTGCCTGTGGCAGACCCCACCATGCTATGTGGTGTCATACAGGAGGAAATGCTGCCTCTGGTAACTTCCCCTGGTCCCTAGTTGTTCTGTCAACCCTTCCTCAATGCCTACATGTGGCACGGGGCTCCCGCCATGGAGGATGAGTGGTTCTGGGGAAACCCCGAGCTGAGTGCCTCCTGAGCTCTCAGGGTCGCAAGGACACCAACCTCATGGATGTGTTGGCAGAAGGCGGGGACCGTAGTGAGCTGGCTGATGAGGTTCAGGTAGGCTGCGCCCAGCGCGTAGAGGGCACAGCGGTTGTACACAGGCAAGTTCTCTTCATTGACCTGGGCCACGTCCTGTGGCAACACAGAGGCGCCTTGGAGTTTTTCAACAAATTAACGTTGGTGCCCCAACCTCCGCCCAACCTCTCCCAGCCTTCTTTAGTAAGGGACGGCCCATCTCTTTAGACCAAGCCTTTTTCAGCATTTGTCCCCTAACTTCCTGGGAGACAGAAGTCATCCTTGGTAAAGTGGAAGGGAATCACCCCGAGAACAACACAAGATCTGGTTGCTCATAAGTACTTGAGTGGAGGCGTGATGACCTCATTCTCCACTTTGCAGTTCCAGCTTTGGTGACCTTGACCGTCCAAACCCTCATCATTAATCATACCTCTAGGATGCTGTGTCCTTGAATATAGGCCTTGAATGACTCTTGGGGGACTGGACTGGTTTGTTAAACTGGGTCCCTATATTAAGCTGAGAGAGTTGCGACAGGTACTCGGGATTGGGACACAGAGGAATCTCAAGTTCTAGAGTGAAGACAATCATAGCAGCTGGGCTGGCTTTGCAGGATTTAGCCCTGGTGGCCCAAGATTCTCCCCCACTGAATTCCCAGGTTTGCCCTCATTCCTGCTCCTAGGTAGGATCTAAAGCTGCCTAGCTTCAGGACCCTGGACACTGCCTGGTCTTTTGAGGTCTGAAGGACCCACCCCAATTCCCAGCATCCTTGAAAGTACACTTCCATCCAAAAGGACTCTGGAAGGCTGCAGCCCTATCTAGTGAACACTGGCTCTCTAAGAGTTACGAGGGAAGCTTGCTGAATCTCCAGGACCCCACGCATGGGGCAAGAACTGGGAATATGTATTTTTCATAAGTGCTTGGGGTAATTCTGAGACACAGCCAGGCTTGGACACCAGATGACCCACAGATGAAGTTTGTGTTGGGATCACTCAAGGTTTATGAGAACTTGGTACCCCTTGAAGTCTCATTCAGACCTTGTGAGACTTGAAATACCAGGGACCAAAGGGTGATTTTGAAAGAGCCTATTCCCTGGGTCTCCTCCGGCCTGAGAATGGGCGCCAGCCATGGATGAGGCATTCTTGGGTGGTTCCCCAAACAGAACCATGGCTTGTGGTCCCTGGAGGAATGGGGAGCCAAGGGTGCCATATTCCTGGGCTCTGAGACAGCTGTGCTCTCATGAGTGCCCCGCGCTGATCCCACCCCACCACATGCTGCCCATGCCAGGTCCCACCTGAACAGCCCCACCTGAACAGCCAGCACCAGGCGGATGAGGTCGACCACCACCTCCTCGTTGGCCAGCTCAATGCTGATGAGCGCCAGCAAGCCATAGAGCGCCTCATAATGCTTCTGTATGTTCGACTCCTCCTTGCAGCTCAGGTAGATATGTCTGTAGAGCTGCTGGGAGTGCTGGGCATGGGAAAAGGGCGGGGGCAAGGTCGCAGTGGGTGGGTGGAGGTGGGAGGGGCAGGGAGAATGGGAGGAGACCAGTCTGCAGGTGGTGCGAGGCTGTGTGCACCCCACCTCCACCCTTAGGGAAAGGGTGCCTTCTCTCTCTCTCTCTCTCAAGTACTTGGGTTCAGCTGGTCATCCTGACTAAGTGTGCTCAAAGAGGGAGCAAGCAGGCTTGGAGATGGGGTCAGCACTGACTTGGGGGCTGGGAGGCGGGGGCCCATAAAGCCTGGCCCACCTGGGGTTTGCTGGGGCTTAAGTCACAGGGGCTAACCTTCTTCATGAAGACGGTGTCCTGTCGGGAGCACTTGTCCACTTTCAGCTTCAGGACAGAGATGTCACTGAGGGTACTGGGAAGGGACACAAGGGGCCATCTTAGCCCTGTGCAAGGCCAGTCAGAGCTCAGGCAGCGTCACTGGGCTTTACCCCAATGTTGTCAGTTGGGTCCCAGCCTCCCACCCCCCTTAGCTCAGTCTCCACTTTCCTCAAGTTCTCAACCCCTCTGTCCTGCCCACTTTTTCTGGTCCCTTTTTCTAAAACACCAATTCAGGGGCACTTGGGTGGCTCAGTTGGTTAAGCGACTGCCTTCGGCTCAGGTCACAATCCCAGAGTCCCAGGATCGAGTCCTACATCAGGCTCCCAGCAACATGGGGAGTCTGCTTCTCCCTCTGACCTTCTCCTCTCTCATGCTCTCTCTCACTCTCTCTCTTTAATAAATAAATAAAATCTTTAAATACCAATTCCCATTATTCTCTTCCTCCCTTCCCCTCCTCCCCAGTCTTTCCTGATAAACCTGCACCCCCTTCCTTCCTCCCCACCCACTAACTCCCTTTAGTACCTGCTCTTCCTCTCCCCCGTCTCCACTCCATCCCCTGGCTCCCTGGGAGAAGTGCCCTTCCATCATTCCCGCTCTCATAGGACCCCAGGGTCCATGTCCGTGATCAGCTCCTGCTGGTTCCCAATGAATAAGGGAACTGTCCTCTCACCTGGGTGTGAGACCTACGGGAAGTCTTCTCCCCCACCATACACCTACTGGAGGGGAGACCCCAAGTTCACCTGATGGTAGAGAACTTGTGGCGGTTGCCATGACGATCGATGAAACTGATGAGAATCTCTAGAACAAAGAGGCGGATCTCTGCGTCCTCCATGAGGGCGGTGGACAGAAGGCGGTCCAGGAAGTTGCTGGGCAGGGCTGACATCATGTTGTTGCACTGGAAACCTGTGGACACCTGTGAGCAAGCCCAGCATGGCCGAGCTTAGTTAGGGGCACTGGCACCCTCAGTGCAGCGAGGAGATGGACAGCAGCCGGTGGATCTGGGGTCTAATGAACCTGACCCCTCCTGACAGCTCACAGTCCAGCTCCCTTGTCCTCCATCCTAGGCCCTGGATGCCTGAGGCAACTTTTTTGAACATGCCAACAACCACCTAGACCTATTTTGGGTTGTTGAAAGCAAGCAAGGGGTAAGCACTAGAGGGGAGCAGGGGCCAGGGAACCTCTGGACCTAATGGTCCAGCAGCCAGGGCACAGCTGATGAACACTCCCCACGAACGCGACACTGCGTAAGGGCACAGATGGTCACACAGACACGGAGAGGCAGTGGGAGAGCTTACAGTGGGGCTGAGGACCCACAACCCTCCCCCCCACAACAACCATTTCAAGACAACTCTTCAAGGTGGGCATCCTGGGGGGTCTTCAGATTAAAGCCAGTGGCTGTCAGTAGACACATCACGCCATCATTATTCTCTTCCATGTCACGCCACGTCAGTAAAACAATCCCAAAGTTTACAGCAGCAGCATCTACTATAGCCCAACTGTGGAAGGAGCCCAGATGTCCTCTGACAGATGAATGGATAAAGAAGATGTGATGTGGGGAGCCTGGGTGGCTCAGTGGGTTAAAGCCTCTGCCTTTGGCTCAGGCCATGATCCCAGGGTCTTGGGATTGAGCCCCGCATCGGGCTCTCTGCTCGGCAGGAAGCCTGCTTCCCCCCCCCTCTCTGCCTGCCTCTCTGCCTACTTGTGATCTCTGTCTGTCAAATAAATAAATAAAATCTAAAAAAAAAATTTTAAAAGAAGATGTGATGTACATACACAATGGAATACTATGCAGCCATCAAAAATCCTGCCATTTGCAACAACGTGGATGGAACTAGAGGGTATTATGCTAAGCGAAATGAGTCAATCGGAGAAAGACAATTATCATATGATCTCACTCTGTGGAATTTAAGAAACAAAACAGAGGATCATAGGGGAAGGGAGGGAAAAATAAAACAAGATGAGATGAGAGAGGGAAACAAACCATAAGAGACTCTTAATCTTAGGAAACAAACAGGGTTGCTGGAGGGGCAGGGGTGGAGATGGGGTAACTGGCGGAGGGACATTAAGGAGGGCATGTGATGTAATGAGCATTGGGTATTATAAGACTGATGAATCACTGACCTCTACCTCTGTAACTAATAATATATTATATGTTAATTAATTGAATTTAAATAAAAACAAAAAAATTTTTAAAAACCCACAAAAAACAAAAGCAGCAAAACAATATTGATGGTTAAATCCAAATTGCAAAACAATGCCTTTGATGATTCAGCAGACCCTAGGGGACCTAGCAAGGCCTGGTGGCATCAATAGTAAACATCAGCTAAAGGGGGGTATGAGTGCCCCCCAAACTGTCACCTTGATAAGGAGCTGGGTACAGTGAGGGCAAGCTCAGCAGAAATGGCAGGAGCACACAGACCAAGGAGGTCACCAGATGTGGGCAGTGCCAGCATGAAAAGCCTTTATAAAAACACAGTGGCATGAACGGCGTGGGCTCAGGAGCGGGTGGGGCGTGCAGATCAGCAGGGCTGGAACAGAGACTGGGGCTGAGGGCTGAGATGGGGAGTCAGGGAGGGGAAGGCGCCTGAGGATCTCCCACCTCAGTCTGAGAGGTGAAATCTGGAGGCATGTCAATTGTACACAGACACCTACTATTTAAAAAGGAGCAACGTGTGGGGAGCATCATTTCTAGAAAATTCTCCTTGTGGTTGTATGTCTGATTGATGAGGACAGATGGAGATAAGGACAACCATGAGGAGAATCTAGCTGTGAGATTTCCAGAGCTTAGGCGGAGCTGTGTGTAAGAATCCCTGGGGAGCCCGTTACAAACAGATTCCAGGACCCCACTCAGACCCATGGCTCCAAATCTCACTGAGTCCATATATGTTCTAACAAGTTGGTCATGAGATGGCTTTTGAAGATAATCAATCTGGACTCCAGTGATAGTTGCAAAGATGTAAAGAGGAATGTAAAATCCCGATGAAGGGAAAGACAGACTGAGGTGGGCACAAGTGCTGAGGGCAAAACAGGTGGAAGGGACCTAGGGAGGTACTTGGAAGGGGGAAAAAAGGGCAGGAACCAAAGATAGCATCCCAATTCAGAGATAATGTTTGAGTGACAAGACTATTAGTAGCTGATAAGGAACCTTTGTGAAAATTGGGAGCAGTGCCCTGCCTGCTCCAGATGATCCAGCTCTGTGGATGCCCAGACTGTTAATGAGTGTAACACAGGCTAGATTTCAGCCCCCTAGTCACCCTTCAAGCCAGGCCTATTTGTGCAGTGTGCAACCTGCACAACTGTATGTGGTAGCCTTCTCTTGGTCCTTTGGGAGGAGTTGCCTTCTGTAGAGTCAGAGCAGGACTGGGGACAGGAGAGGCTCACCTGAAGGAGGGATTTCAGCAGCATAATCTGGGTCAGCCGGTTCCTGTTCTCTCTGTAGACCAGAGACACAAATACTCATCAGGATGGTGATGTGGGCAGAGACCCCACATTTGCTTGCCCAGGTTCCCCTTGTGATTAGATTCTCCATTAAGCTTGTTTCCCGGGACCGCTGACTTCCAGAGCCAGGAAGTAGACCAGAGAATTAACGGCTTGCCCCAAAGGTGGGAGGTAGTTATTGGTGGGGCAGCCTGAGGAATTGTTGTGGGCTCCAAGGGCCCCACTAAAGACAGCTGAGGGATTTGAGAGTAGAAGAAAAGTGAGGGCAGGACCAGGAAAATTAAAGCGAAGTAAGGAAGAAAACACGGGAAGGGAAGCTGGGGTGGAATTTTGGCCAATAGGGGAGAAAGGGCAGAGAGGCTGGGAGGCTTACCCTGTCTTCCCTGTCTCCATGGGATGATGCAGGGAAGGCAGTGGGACCTTGCTCATGATGAAGAGGATCACCTCGGAGCGCTGATACGTGGGCAACGTGCTGGCAAAGGAGCCTGCAGTAAGGAGATGGGGTTGGCTCAGGTGGGGCTGCCGCCTGCCAGGGTCTCCGCTCCGCCTCTCAACTGGACAAACTACCGCCCAGAGTGCAGGCTGCGTCCCTAGGGAGACAACTAAGACGCGGAGGGAGAAACCTTCGCTTGTCATTCCGCAGGCTGTGGTCAGCGTCTCTGGGAAGGAGAGGGGAGAGCGCCCTGGTGCTAAGCCAGGGCGGCTCTGCAGTGACCAGCTCTGCAAGCTCGGAGGTGGCCGTCCGGTTCTCCCCGTCCGCATCCACGTGCGCATCCACGGCCTTCTCCCTTTCCTCCCTCCCGCCTCTCCTCTTCCTCGCTTCTCCCCACCAATCGCTCCCGGGTGGCGGCATCCGACCGGCCTGATAGGGGCTGGGGGCGGGAAGAGTTCGCGGCTCTCCGCCTCTGATCCTAAGTCCCGCCTGAGCAACCCACGGACGTCGTTCCGCGCTCTCCCTCACGCCCGACCCCGGCCAGTCCGAGAGCTGTGCGCGCCGCCGACGGACTCCATCTCCTCCGACGTCCGCGGGTAACGCAACCTGAGCGGATGACTTTCCTGCAGCGTCCGAGCGCGGTCCGGGTGGAGGCCGCCCCCTGCCTCTCCCAACCAGGACGGACGCTGCGGCGCCCGGCCCCGCCCCACCACCGGCCCCGCCCACCACGGCCCCGCCCCGGGTCCCACCTATGGTCTTGATGACAGCCTCTTGGAACATGCGCTCTTCGTGCTCTTTGATGATCTTGGTGCCCAGGCTGATGGCCCCGTCGTAGCTCCCGGTGAGGGCGTAGTCGATGCTGAGCCGCAGCTGCCTCAGCAGAGTGTTGAACATCTCCAGCACCGTGGGCCCTAAGCGCAGCGGGGGCGGGGTGCAGGGAGGGGGAGACCCGAAATCCAGGGCTGGCACTCCCGCTCATTCTCGCCGGTCTTGCATTCCAGCCGGGACCTTCCTCTGCCCCCTCCCCGCGCTCCCTTGCCCTTTTCTGGAGGGGGAGGCAGCCTCCCGCCGAGGGCAGGGCTTTGTCCTTGGAGGCTTCCGGGGCCCCCTTACCGACGGAGCCGGTGGCCGCGATGACGGCAGCTTCCGACAGGACCTCCACGATGCCCGCCCGCACCGTGGCCGCGCTGCGGCTGTTGGCATCCAGGTGGCTCAGGAGCTGCTGGATAACCAGGTGGGAGTGCTGCGGCTGGGGGGAGGAAGACGTGCTGGCCCCAAACCGCAACCCCCACGCGGCCTCTGCGCCAGGGCAGCTCTCGACTGGGACGCAACGGCCGGCGTGGACGAAGGTGAGGTCCTGAGGCCAGTGGGCACTGGAGGTGGTGTCCATGTCTCCTCAGTCCCTTCCCCCTGGTCCCACAGGAGCAGAAGCCCCATTCCAGGGACGACCTTGATTTCGAGATGCCCTGGGCCCTTCTACTTCAAGCGGGTCAAAAGTCAATTTTTGGGTCTTTCTTTTCATTGTTCCTGGGTCCCAGGTCATACTGGTAAGGACCACCACAGGCCACAGGGTTTAGCCCCCTGCTGCACAAAGTGTAGCCTGATTACACTGGGACAGTAGAAACCTCGAGAATAAGGGCTTAGTAAGCAACGTCATCAGGCTGTGGCGTGAGTGGGGTCTAGGGGCTTGTATTTTACATGAGCTTTTCATTTACTTTTTTAAAGAATTCTTTTTAATTGTATTTTATAAAGTATTTATCTGTGCTGTATCAGAAATAAAACTAAAACCTGCCCTTCCTCCCAGCCAGATGAAGCAGCACGTTGAGACACCTGGGGGCTGGGGAGAAGTTACAGAGTACGGCTGGCTTTCTCCTTTAGCACACCGGCCTGCTCCCCGAGGTGCCCTTGGCCGGTCCACAAGCTGGAGGGGGAAGCCGCCGTACCTGAATTGAGTACATGATGATTTTAAAGCAACGGATGGCAAAGACCTTGGGTTCCCAGAGAGAATGGTTATCCAGGTGGCTGTGAGGGAGAAAACACGGGAGGAATGGCTATGAAAGGTAAAGCAATGGTAGGGAGGACAGACAAGCTTGGGGGGGAGAGGAGCCTCCTGAGAGACCCAGCCCCTGGCAGAGCTCCCAGGTGAGGAAGGCCTTCCAGGTGGCGGGAGGGAGGAGGATGAGGACCCCGGGGCTGTCCCCTCCCAGGAACCGGAGGGAAGCCCAGAACAGAGTTCTGTAGCTGTGGACTCAGGAGTGAAGCCAGGCACCTTCCTCTGGTTTTGGGGCCTCCTACCAGCACCTCTCCCCAACACTGCTCTTGGCCACTGTGTGGTAGCTTCTGCTGTCACACAGGCATAGACAAGGGACCATCTTGGGCAAAGGACCACCACCATAACACCTCTTTCCCCTCTCCCCGAGTCAGCAAGATGCCAGGACCCGAAAGTTCTCTGAGGGCTGGTGTGGGGGCCGGCGGCACTCACATGAGAACAGGCTTGATGGCGTTTTTGATGTTGCCAAAGGCAGCGCGGCCCAGCAATTCCCGAAGGCACCTCTCGGCCAGCTCTGCTGGGTTCTCTTTCTCCTTCTCTGGTGCTTGGAGGGGCGAGGGAGAGCGGCTGTGGAAACAAGCAGCACGTGGGTAAGTGATGGCGAGCAAAGCTTGAATCAGTCTTTGTGCAGCCTGCATTTCTTTTTTCTTTTTTTAAAGATGATTTTACTTATTTATTAGAGAGAGAGAGAGAGAGGGCACAAGCAGGGAGAGTGGAAGAGGGAGAAGCAGACTTCCTGCTGAGTAGGGAGCCCAATGCGAGCCTCCATCTCGACCCTGAGATCCTGATCTGAGCCAAAGGCGGAGGCTTAACCGACTGTACCGCCCAGGCGCCCCAGCAGCCTGCGTTTCCACACTGCGTCCTTGCACGCGGTGCACAGGGACAGGCAGGAATTTGATGCGGGCTATCATAATACAATGTGGGAGAGATCCTGACTGTCAGAGATGAAACAGAGTAAAGGACCCCAGGATGGAGGAAGATCATGGGAGAAGGGGTCAAATTCTCTTTCCGGAAATCCTTGGGCACAGGTGTCCCCGCAGGAAGGACAGATAGCCTGCACATCACAGGTCTGGGAGGCACAGACCACAGTGTCTCCATTCCCCAAAGCCTGGGAAGGAAAAAGATTGAGTGTGAAAGAGAGGGAGGCCGAGTAATAGAGAAAGCAAAAGAAAAGTGGAGGAGAGAGGGAGAGGAAAAAGAAAGGCAAGGCGGTTGGCGCAAGTGGGACTCAGTGGTACCTCAGTCATAGGGGCTGGATCTGGATAGAAGAAGGAGCCTCATGTCTCTCTCTGGGGGTTGAGACCCCTAGAGTCCACAGGCCAAGCTCGGGGGTGAGGTGCAGTTCCAGGAACGGCCCCCAGAGGGCCACACTTCCTTCCCCCCCAGCCTGTCCCCAGCTTCACCGGCTCCAGGGAGTCAGAGGAAGGGAGGGAGGAACCTGCTGTTCTCACACCTCGCCATGCACAGCCCAGGTGGACAGCAACACGAGCCTTTCCCTGCATCCCATTTTACAGATGGGAAGAGCGAGGGGCGAGGGACACACTGAATCCCCTGTCTGAGGGCTCCCATTCAAACCCAGCATCTGCAACTAGTGTCCAGGGGCTGCTGGCTGGTCAAGCTAGTTTTAAGGGCCTGCAGTGCCCATTAGGAAGTGAGGGAGGAAGGGAAAGTCCTCAGCCACTGGAGCCATGAAAGGTGCTTTAAAACCTCCTTGGCCTGCTGCTTTCAGAGAGACAGAGGTAACCCGACTCTTGGTTCTTTGTGTTCTTACCAGCTCGCACTTACCCTCAGGGAACCCAGCACGGTTACTGTCCTTCCTTCACGAATGCAGACCTTAGGGGGTGTGGAGCCGGCCTTGGACGCATTGCATAACAAGCCACAAAAACCAAGATCCCTGGCCTTTTAATTAGGCTTTACCAGCCAGCCCAAGCCCTGTGGTTCCCAAGCAGATGGCAGAGGCAGCCCGGGAGGGCCGTGCATGGCTGCTGCCCGAGCTCCTGCCTCGCCTGCTTACCTCTCTGCCTCCTCTATGTGCTGCAGATTGAAAAGCAGCGACGGGACAATTTTGTCCATGTGCTGTGGGTCCCAGATATTGGCTTGCAATTCATCGTTCACTGTCTTCCTCACCACCCCTTGAAGACCTTTGATGCCTGACATTCTGATTCTGGAAGAAAAAGGGCAACACGGAGTCATGAAATCCTCCAGCCTGGAGAGCCTGGCTTCTGTGGCAAGGGGAGGAGCACGGTGTGGGGACCGGGGATGCATTCGTCCATCCAAAGGCAGAAGGGAGCCCACCTTCTACCCTCTGTGTGACTCAGCCTCCTGGCCAGCTGGCTTCCTGTGCAAGTGGACATGAGCTGCTTTGATCCTGCCCCACCCCCACCCCCAGTCAAGACCCTGAGCCAGAGGCTATGCAGACTTAAGAGCGAAGTAACTAGAATATTGTCTCCCTCACTATTCTTACTCCTGGTTCTGGGTTACAAGGTACTTCCTAGGGGCGCCTGGATGGCTCAGTGGGTTAAGCCTCTGCCTTCTGCTCAGGTCATGATCTCAGGGTCCTGGGATCGAGCCCCGCATTGGGCTCTCTGCTCAGTGGGGAGCCTGCTTCCCCTTCTCTCTCTGCCTGCCTCTCTGCCTACTTGTGATCTCTGTCAGATAAATAAGTAAAATCTTTTAAAAAAACAAAAAACAAGGTACTTCCTAATACACAGAAGAAATACATCCCAAACACACTGGGCTCCTATGTCCCACCCAAGAGAGCCTGGCCAGCAAGAAACCAGGCCTGGCTGGTTTCCCCCCCAGGGCTTCCTTATGTGTGAATGTGAATTAATTCAGTCTCCCCAGAATTCTTCCCACATATGTACACATTTCATTCCATGGCACCTGGAGCTGACCGACCCTTTCAAAATAAAGCCCCAAAGACCAGGCCCTCAGAGAGACCTGCTCCTCTTATGGCTCCCTGTCATGGGCCCATCGGAGGCTTAACCAAGAGCAAGAGGCCTGGGGAGTATCTGAACCCAAGGGACACCCCCACCCCACCCCGCACAACACACACTCTTATTTATAAGACCCAAGTGTTGTTCTTGGAAAGGGGCTCTGGGCTCTGCTGAGGCTGTGAATGAACAACAGGGGGCTCTTGGGGAAAAGGGGCACAGGGAGGCTGACAGAAAGAAAAAGGATGATTTATGCCAGAAACACCTGTCACCCTGGCAAGCCTTCCTTTCAGGGTTGGCACGTGCCGTCTGTGGGCACTAATGGCCCTGCTCAGGTGCCAGGAGCAAATCTCAGCCACCATCCTCCCCACGGGCCGCACATCCTAATGCTGTCACAACACAGGGCTGACAGACGTCTGCTTCTGTGCCTTCTTCCCCCACCATGTCGTGTGTGTGTGTGTGTGTGTGTGTGTGTGTGTGTGTGTGTGTGTGGTGGCACAGGGATGTCCTCTCTGCTCCCCCTTCTGAAAGCTCAGTATTGCCTGAATGACCGGCCCCTGTTACAGCCACACCAGGCTCCAGTACTGTGCCTTCCCCAGTACCTGCCCCCAGACATGCCCCAACTGTTCCAGAACCGTCTGTCTCTTTAGAGCCCATCTGCAGTGAGGGGGCTATGGCAGGGCCAGTGCTGGGGAGATGACAAGGGGCTCCTTCCTCCAGGGGCCCCCACTACTTGTCGGAGGCACTGGGGTAGCACCCTTCCAGAGTCCATGACTATTTTAAGAGACGGGGGCCTGAGGAGGAGGGGATCCTTCCAACCACTCACAGGGTGACCTGCCCTGGAGATGTTCCACAGGCTCACAGCTTTGGGAACTGGCTCTCTGCGGGATGGTGGGGTTCACTTTCGGTTCCTTCAACCCAGACTGTCAGCAGGGCTCCCTGGCCCTGCCGTTGCACAAAACATGGCACTCAGGGCCCCTCCGAGGTACTGGGGTGATGAAGGAGAAAGCCAGCGGCTGAGTTCTGGAACAAAGCACTGGAGAATTGGGCTGCTGTGGGCATACCACCGTCAACGTCAGCCACCAAGCCTCCTCACTCTGGCTCCCCCTGGCCTCTCCCTTCTCTTCCCTTCTCCTTCCTTCTTTGTCCCCTTTGAACACATTCTCCATTTCATAGGGCCTCCCCGAGTTGATAACACAAACACACCCCATTTGGGCAGAGGCCCCCTTCCAATCGTTTTGCACCTTATCGTTCTACGACGAGACTTAGCACAAACCCCAATTCCCTGTTTCCTTGCTCATGCACTGCTCCATTGGTCTGACGCTCTGTCCCCCTTATCTTCTGTGGGCATATATTCACGTAAATGCCTTTGTGATTTTATTTGAGAAGTTTTCATTCTATGTGGATAAGTGTGTTTCTGTGAGTTGAAGAATTTGATAAGTTTGAGTCTGAACGTAAAAGCGTAGTCCGTAATTCAGGACGTTTATCTGAAAGCATTCATTCTTGGCACCTGGCTTGCTCGGTTGGCAGAGCATCCGACCCTTGATCTTGGGGTTGTGAGTTCAAGCTCCACGTTAGGCACAGAGATGACATAAAAGAAATAAAATCTTAAAAAAAAAAAAGCATTCATTCATTCACTCATTCATTCATTCAATAACTGTTTATTGAGCACCTACTGGTCCCCAGGCAGTGCTGCGGCACCTGAGAGGCAGCAGTGAACAAAACGATGACTCTGGCCTCCCAGAGTTTACATTCTGCTGGGGGACAGACAAAGAGTAAGAAACAATAAGCATGTCATGAAGGGGATTGTGCTATGCGGGGAAAACAGAGCAGGGCAAGGGAGAAGAGAAGGGGGTATGTGGGATGTTTGAGAGAAGTGGGTGTTGATCAGGAGTTATTTGAGCAAGGGCTTGCAGGGGGAAAGCAAGTGAGCTAGACAGATCTATGGAGGAAGTATTCCAGGCATATGAACAGATGGTGCAAAGGCCCTGTGGCAGGAATGTCCTTGGTGTGTTTGTGGGCAGTAAGGAGGCCTGTGTGGCTGGAGGGGAATGAGCCAGGGGTTAGTGGAAGAGACAAAGCCAGGATGCCCACAGAGATCAGCCAATGTGAAGACTTGGGTTTTGTATCAGCAGATGTATGTTGTGATGGATAGTGGCGATAGTGTGATGGATAGTGGGTGTGTATAAATGCACGTACTCCTGAACAAAAAAACACAGGTCTGTGCATGTGTGTATAAGTGTGCTCAGATTTGGTTCCCAAGACCATTGCCTTCCATCTGCTCCTATTTCGTGCCCCAGAAGATTTTCCTTTGAAAGCACAAGCTGGGAGTCCTGCTCTGCCCACTTGCCCACCTACGTCCCGCCAGGTGTTTCCCTCCCTCCCCAGCGATGTCAGAGCCAAGGTCAATGCTGCAGAGGTCAGACAGTGCGCTCTGGGCTGGGAACGCTGTAAGACCCCTCGATGCTTTTGCCCTTAGCTGAGTGGGCCCCCTCGCCTCCCCTACTCACTTGGTTTTGATTTCCGTGTCATCGTGGCTGGAGTGGCACATTTCACTGAAGCGGGACACAAAGAAGTCATAGCTCCGGTGATAGGATGGGGTGTCCTCTTCGATGTTGGCAAACTTCACAAACTGCCCGGGAGGAGGGAGAGATGTACAGGTGAGAGGTGACCCACTGTGCTCTTCACCTTCGGACTCTGGGCTCTGGCGCTTGCCATCCCGAGGCCCCCTGCCCTAGTAAAGCCAGGGGACATACACACCCGGGAGCCACGCGTTCCAGGATGTGGCTCGGCTCTGCTTCCCGCAGCACACCCGGTCTCCACGCCTCCGTGGATTCCAAATCCTGCTTGCCCTTCCCGTCTACACCACACGACCGGACCCTATGGCCCTTTTCAGCCCATCCCCGCTGAGGTGAGCAGAGGATGGAACAGGTGAGGACACGAAGGCGACTCTCTTAAGCTCCTGCCGCCTTCCATGCCCAGAGCCGCACCAAACACACGGAGGTCTGGAGGCAGTCAGGGATGAACTGAAACAGCCAAAGCCAATGCCAAACCGTGTCTCAACACTTTAGAATGAATTCTGGGAAACAAGAACAAACCTAAAATTTGATTTAAAAATATTATTCCGTAGGGAGAGGGTGGCTGGGTTATGGACACTGGGGAGGGTATGGGCTATGGTGAGCGCTGTGAAATGTGTAAGCCTGATGATTCACAGACCGTTCCCCTGGGGCAAATAATACATTTTATGTTAATAAATATAATTTATAAAACTTTAATTCCATTTTATTATTTAAAATTATGTATTAATTTATGTTTAAAGATTTTATTTATTAACTTGAGAGAGAAAGTGCACAGGGGATTGGAATGTAGGGAGGGACAAGCAGACTCCTCGCTGAGCTGGGAGCCCTGATGCAGGGCTCAGTCCCAGGACCCCGAGATCATGACCTGAGCCAAAGGCAGACTCTTGACCAACTGAGCCACCCAGGCACCCCTATTGCTTCAAATTTGAGCACATTTTTAAAGTTTGCAGATTCAGTTCTGTTAAGTCTGGCTCAGTATTATCAGGGCTGGATTCCTTCTGCCACCCAGCTGCACATTTGCAATTCTAAATAGGGACTTAATTTCAATGGACTCCCACAGAGAAGCAAGAATCAGGGACTAAGTAGAGTTAAATTGCTAAAACTTAAGCATCATTCTTATAGTTTATTAGATAAATAAAATAAACATAGTTTTTATGCTTAATAAAAATTAAGCATAATTCTTATTGTTTAATGTTATAAATTTAGTCCTGCAAACAACTCAAAAGATTACACTTATAATAAAATCTATTCTCCATGATTCTGTCTTGCATTATTTAATTTTTATAAACATTTGTTGGTTCTAAAAGGATATGCTATTATTTCTAAAATCATCTAGTTAATGCACTCATAATATTCATTACCAATTCCAATCTGTTTCTCTGTGTAACTACTCACAATTTGTTAACTTTTCTGGATGACAATTAGCTTGCATCAACATCATTAATTTTTCTTTCACTAATAAATATACATTTATTTTCTGCTGGCTGAACGAATCTCAACATACAAAGCAGATGAGGAGATCTTGCTTTCCAAGTTAACATCTGAAATGTAAACCTCTATTTGGAAGCGAATCTTCCGATATTAGCAATAAATCCAAAGGACCCTGCTTGCATTATTGATGGGGTTCTGCAGAAGAGGCATAGTGGTAATCCATCACTGATAGATCGTAAATTGATTAGATTAATTCATTGATTAGATGTAAGTTCAGGAATTCTAGAAACAATGAATTCTAGAAACGTAGCCTTCAGCTACGTGAACTTCTTAAGTCCCCAAAGGTTAGAACACACAGGTAGGTTGATCCAAAGGTTCAAGCAAAGTTTGGGCTCATGCCTGCTCATACCTACCAACAGGATGATCCCTGGCCGCCCTTCCCTCCTCACGGTGGGAGTCTGGCGTGGTCAGGGTGTCCGTCTATTCAAAGGGGACACACAGCAGATCTACTCTCACTGGCAGCATGACTTTTTTTTTTAAATATTTTATTTTATTTATTTGATAGAGAGAGCTCACAAGTAGGCAGAGAGGCAGGCAGAGAGAGAGGAGGAAGCAGGCTCCCTGCTGAGCAGAGAGCCCGATGCGGGGCTCGATCCCAGGACCCTGAGATCATGACCTGAGCCGAAGGCAGAGGCTTTAACCCACTGAGCCACCCAGGCGCCCCTGACTTTTTTTTTAAAGATTTTATTTATTTATTTGATAGACAGAGATTACAAGTAGTCAGAGAGGCAGGCAGAGAGAGAGGAGGAAGCAGGTTCTCCACTGAGCAGAGAGCCCGATGGGGGGTTCGATCCCAGGACCCTGAGACCATGACCTGAACCAAAGGCAGAGTCCTTAACCCACTGAGCCACCCAGGCGCCCCTCACTGGCAGCATGACTTTTGAGCGGGACTTTGAACTTCTCTTATGGTTTGGTTTTCCCGTATGTGAATAAATACTGCAGTCATCATTCACTAAGAGTCTTCATTTTTTAAAAAAAGATTTTTAAAAAATTTATTTGAGAGGGAGAGGGAGAGACTGTGCACGTACAAGAGCTGGGGGAGGGCAGAAGGAGAGGGAGAAGCAGGCTCTCGGCTGAGCAGGAAGCCCGATGTCGGGGCTCCATCCCAGGACCCTGAGATCATGACCTGAGCCAAAGGCAGAGGCTGAAAACTAACTGAGCCACCCAGGCGCCCCTTAATTTTTTTCTTATACTGTATGTACTTCCCATATGATGAGGCAGCTTAAAATAAGACAATCCGAGTGTATGCAAGAGAATATGCATTTGAAAGTATTAAAACAAGAGACCATAATAAAGAGGGAGAAATAGTCAAAGATTTCATCTCTCACACTTACTGACTGGGTAGACTCAGATGTATGTCAGGGGAACGAACGCCCAGACCTCAAGTTCACTGGTTTAGGAGTGCCACCCCAAGCATTTTACACACGTCATCTCTTCTTAGAACGACTCTAAGTGAGAGACAGATTATGGTAAACAAAGCCACAGAGCTCCAGAGCCACATGGATTGGCACCACCGGCCCCAGACATACTGAGTCACTGAGTCACTCTGGGAGGAGGCCCAGGGGTTGACCTTGTAGCATGGTCAGTCCCAGGAGACCTGATGGGATGGCCCCCAATTGAGAAACACTGCCCGGTCGCTAGCAGACAACCTGGCCTCCCGTCTTCCGCACACCACCACGGACACGGACGCTTCTCTGAACCAATGCCTGATCTCTGTGCAACTTTCCACTTTTACTTTCCTCCTCTTCTAAGCGCCGTGAAGCCACGAGGAGGCCTGACCCCAGTCAGGGGCATGGCCTAGCGGCACAGCCTGAGTGCTTGTCACGCCCAGTGCTGTTGAGTCTGGCCATTACCCATGCTGTTCAAGCTGCTAAATATTTTGACTCATACCCACAGGCTGTAAGGTTAGAATTGAGATATGATTGATATTTAAAAACCGAAAATTCCACGGCAGCCACACTGGTCACGCGGGATAGAAAACATGCATGGGGATCCCTTTTCTACAACCGGGGCGGCCTTTTTCTAGTTTCTTCTGGATCTCTGCCCACAGGGCCAGCTCCAGCTGCTAACCACACTGGAAATTGCCCTCATTCTTTTCTTCTGTGACTGTCTGTGTCCCTGGATTTTCACACCTCTGCACCCTTCCTCCCTGGGAATTTAGGTCTGCGTCTTCTCAAATTTTGCTTTCGACAAGAGAGTTCTTCCATTTAAGTAGACAATGGTCCCCCCATGCTGCCGGGGCCACAGGAGGACGGCCGCCTCCTTGTTCTGCCTCTTATCCTCTGTGTGACTGTGAACATGTTGTAAAACTTCTGAGCCACTGCCTCCTCCTTGGTGAAGTAGGGACACTAGGACACCGGCTGGTCACCAGGATTAAATGTGGGGACATATGCGGAATGACTAGCGCGGTGCCTGGCTAGCTCAGGGAACAGTGCTGCAGTGACCGTGGTGACTGTGGTCTGGTCTGTCAGCTCGGAGGCTAGACAGCGTGACCCTTGTCCTTTTCATGTCATCAACATGGGCCCGGCCAGGCAATCACAGAGGAGGGGTCCAGGTGGGTAGCATGGACCATGCAGGCAACACACCTCAAATGTGATGCCTGGGGGTGTGGAGAGAAGGAAACTAGTTTTTGCCACCCCCCAGGGAACTGGTGGCTGAGGATGGGAGTGAGGGCTGCGGCAGAGGGCAGGGGATATGGGGGTGATGGCCACGCCCCCTCCAGGTGCCATTCAGGGACTGAGGTCATTTATGGCACTAGGACAGAGCACCGCACTGAGGGGCAAGAGGGTGGGACTATGGGATAGCCAGCAGTCATCACTGCAAGACCAGGGACAAACCAGCCGAACGTTCGTTTTCTTCTCTTTAAAATGCACACATCATCTCCTAGGAATGTGAATACATTAGAAATAATTAAGAAAAGCTCCCCAAGTTCCTGTTACAACAGGAACTCTGTGATTCCAAGTTTTCATATTAGCAAGGTTCTTATTTCTAAGAGGCTTAAACTTTTTTTTTTAAGAGGTGGGAGAGGGGCAGAGGGAGAGAGAGAGAGAGAGAGGGAGAGAGAAAGAATCTTAAGCAGGCTCCAGGAGATCATGACCTGAAACCAAGAGTGGGAGGCTTAACTCACTGAGCCACTCAGGCGCCCTGAGGCTGTAACTTTGTATGGGTCTTACAGGATTCAGCAGCGCAAGATCATCGAAGGAGTGTGCTACGGCAGCGGCCAAACACATTGAAGACACTGCTCAGCAACCAGGGGTCTGTTCTGCGCATGTCCGCGACGGTGCTCAGTGCACGTTCTCATCCCACCTGACCAGAAAAACCCATTTCCAGTATGGCTATGGTGAAGCCTGTTTGCCTCGGTTTAACTCGTACCTTGTTCTGTTGAAGTCCTCAAAATGTGCAAAAGGCCGGGGCCCTAGAGAAGGCTATTTATAGAAAGGAATTTGTATGGGGTGGAGCCATAGCAGGCCCCGCCCATCTTTCCCGCCGGATGTGGATGGGAGCCATATGCAAAAGCAGCCCCTAACGCTGACATCCTGTCATAACAACATTAAATATGTCT